AATTTATGCTGAGATTCACTCATCTTAGCCGTTACACTTCTCTATGATTGACTGAATTATAAAATAAAATTTAAAAATTTTAACCCTGAAGCTAGCTCATCGCCTTCTCTGTTATAATAATAAGCGCACCAATAAGCTTGGAGAAGATGAAGCTGAGTTTAAAAAGAGACAAGCAATTAATTCGTTTTTTTCTTTTTAGCGCCTTTAATTTGCCTCGAGTAGCCATTCCATTCCTTTCTATCTCCTTATATTGAAAAGTTGTATACATACACCTACATCTATGTCAGAAGTTTCCTCTGACCGGGACCAAGGACCATATCAGAACGCGGAAATAAGTGCGTAATAGGTGCATAGAATAGCAAGCAGCAAGCCATTGAAAGCATAATACAGGATAAGGGTCAGCAAAGAGATTTAGACGATCACTTAATATAGCAAACACATACTATTGGACTTGCGAATAACTACTAACTTGTACAAGGGACACTACTCTCTCAGTTATGATCTAAAAAATATTGAGTATCTCAGACAACGAAGCGACTGAAACGTCCTACCATGTTTTGGATGAATGTGCGTCTATCAGCAAAATCAAATGCCAGGTGTTTGGCAAACAAATTGCCGCGCCGGACATACGCTTCAATGTTCCGAGCCAAAAAATGTAGTGGGATTCGCAAGGTTCCTTAAGGTAGACGGCTAGCAACTTGGACAACTACGATAGATCGTTTAGTTCGCGATACAAATTGACCGCGATTGAGACAATGAGACAAACACTAATGTACTATGGGTTAGCGCACAGACAAGCATTGACTGACCGTTCGCTAAAAAATTAAATCAAATTCGTATTGCGACAATGGTTGATGGACAGGAAATGAAAAGTCAGTAAATTTATCTCCTCAAACTCTTCCGAATCACTTTAAGCCGACAGTCCTGAATCTATGCCTGCAAATAGCTTCATACGCTCTCCCTCCAATACCTCCAAATATGAAATGTCTTTCAAGAATTTTAAGTGCAACTTTCTGTTTCGTCATCTTTAAAGTGATGCCATCGATACCAAAATCATTGACATTGATAAGAAGTTCGTATAAAAACTACATTGCGTTCAAATCAAACAACTCCGTAAGGTAAAATTATGCTCACATGGGCATAGTTCCCCATGCCAACTACACATTTCCATATTAGACGACCTACGCCAATGAATTAAGCTAAGCCTCAGTTCCGTTTTAATCGTGATTGGTGCAACTCCACTACTCGTGAGACGCTTGTTTTTCTCTATTGTTTCTCACTATTTGAAAACGAAATTTTTACATATAACGTGTAAAACAGATCGAAAAAAAAAAAAACAAAATAAATGGATAACTAAAATAAATGTACATATAGATTATATAGCGCGAGTGGATTGATTTAAGAGATCATTAAAGGAACCGTATCGCTCGCAACGGCATTTCGTTTATATATTTTTACATATATACACATACCGGCTGTTATATATATAACAGTGGTATATATATATATTTATATATATATATATATGTAACGAATACATATATAAACACAGTGCCATTGTAACTGATACGATTCATTTAATGATCATCCGTGCTTTATATTTATTTTGAGAATCTTTTAAACTACTCGGTGAAAAGGTCTCGATTTCAGTATTAAAAGGTAAGATAAAAGGTAAGTGTAAGCTGATATCATAAATTAGCGGTAGTAGTGTTTTTTTGTGTTAAGAGACTAACGATAAAAGAGCAAAAATTTCTTTTTCTTTATCACAACAAAATTTCCTAAAAGTCTAGGCTTTTAAACTAGCTACCGACAAAATAAGTAATGGGTGTGCCATCTAATAATTTAAATTTATATACATATAAATATGCTTGTTAGCTAAACAGTGAAATTATTACTTTCACCAGTGGACCGTATACGATCATTTCGTAAGTGATAATTGCTAGTAGGCATTGGCAAACCTTGACGAGTATAGGAATCTATTGTCAAAGGCCTTTCTTGGGTAGAATTTTAAAATTAACAAATTGTTCATCTCCTCTCCAAAAGTTGTCTTCGACTTAGTGCCATAGGTGTACTAAATTCAAGCTCCAGGTATCAAGTCACTATCTGGAATTATCCAACATTATCATAGTGTCATTAATAGATAGATGTACGTCTAAATTAGCTTGGAATCGGGTAAAGTTCTGTACGGGTATAAATGAATTAAAGTCCCGTCTCCTGTAACGGTAGCAAATCAAGTAGACCACTAGTAAATTACGGATAGTTGACGAAGTACAGTGGCAAAATTTCTGTACTTGTCACTGCTAGACAATCACTTAGGCTCGCATTATGCACTTCTTCACTATATATGAGGGTCTTTCCCCGGCTGGCTATTGTGTCCTGATTTCGGCAACACTGTGCGTTATATCCAAAAAAAAATATGAATCAGCACAATATCCTAAAGGTATGTCGGCAATTTATCAGTTTCGGAGAGTCGGAGATAGAATTACATGTATCCACATTTTTCTCCACAATATATTTCACGATTGTCTGGAAAACAGAGCAAAAAGTAGAATCATGTAAAAAAACGCCTGCATATGATGCACATATTTCCCTGTTTTGGAAAATCGTGTAAGATGGAAAAACTCTAAATTTCTATCTAACTCCCAGAAAGTCGTGCAAAAAAAGCAATAATCAAATCCATATAAAGAAAAGAACACATCACATATATTGTCTTATATAAAAAAAAAAAGAGTCTACGTACGAACCAAGGATACGCTTAACACATGAACTAAGGTTTATCCATGCTGGTGCTGAATTTTAAGTTTAAATAAACGAGTTTGAAGAGTTTGCGAGAGGATCTTTTCACTAAAAAAAAAAAAAAAAAAAATGAAATTAAGCTACCAGTGAAAAACATCATGGACTGATGAAGTGCAATAATAATCGAAAAATTTAAATTTAAATTAAGAAAAAAAAATCAATTTTGCAATCATTAGTACAAATTACACTGGAAATTTCATCATGTACTAGAAAAAAAAAGCTTCCATTCGAACACAATCTTTTAGAAATTTGTTGAAATTGCTTACTACATCCTACGAACTGAAGTGCTGCGTCCAACGTATATTACAACTGGAAAGAGAGTGCAAAGAAAAAGTGATCATGAAATTCGGGTGTTGCCCAAGTTCAAGTCGTTAAGCAGATCAAGTCACTAATAATGTGTGAGCATCAACTGACCGCCCTTCTGTTCACGGTAGTCCTTCCCAAACGAACATCAAATGGTAGTGAAAGAATCATATCGAAAGAAGACGCCCGAAAAAGATAACGGTAAGTGCGATAGGCTGACAATGGCACCACTACAAACCAAGCCGCACCCACTAACGAATAATGAGCCCAGGACTTCGCCGCTTTTGCTATAGCTGTTAACAAACCACCAATCACGTCGCGTAACGGTAACACTCGTGGCATATCGGGCGAATAAATAGGCTGGAAACTGAACCGATGATCGCATAGTTCACAGTATCCTTTGTGCGAATAGCGCATCCATTGCATTAAACAAACGTTTTTTTCGGGATTCGTTCTAAAGCAAAAACTTTGTATAAAAACCGTGTATTTGTTCTTATTGGTGAAGCATATTATTTCAAAATCGGATAAAAGATGGTTTAAAAAAAAATCTAAAAATCTAAATATATATATATATATATATATATATATATATATATATGCATGTTGGTTAGTATTGGTTATTTAATTGAATTTTGGGACAAATATTTAGCCAAGACCATCTAATGACGTAGCTGTGGAGCTAATCCCGATGAATAATACCAAGTAATAAATAAACAAAAGGTTATTTAAATAAAAATGTTCAACCAATGTACAAATTACGTGATTGCAACTTAGTGGAAAAACAATCAGTGGACAACGCATAGATGGTTAAAACTACAAACCATTGATAATGTTGAACGAAGAGAACAATGACTAGGTGGATGGATCATCCTACACGTTGAGTAACAAAATTGGCCTACAGAGAAAGGGGATATAACTGTCTGTGATGGAATTCATATTTGGACATTTACCCAATTATGGTTTTTACTAATTTTTCCCCCTTTACGTGACTCGTTTAATTCATTTATGTTTATTTATTTTACAATCTAAAGTTGAGAGTGTATTCGTCGTTTGGTCAGTTGATGAGAATTCCAAGTCGACAGAGCATTATGCATGCTCGTACCTTTCCTCTTCTTCTTGAAATGAAAATTTTCAATTTGATATCTGCAGACAGAATTCTAGATATCCGCGTACAGTCGTATTTAAGGTATATACACTTAATAATTGTTGGCCGAACATATAACATAAATATTCTTAAATAAGTTCTTTTCCCAAAAATCGTATGGAACGCATTTGTTCGAAGATGAAGGCCACTTGCCTACTTGGATATCACCGTACGTACGTGATAAATAGTACCATTTATTTTGATACAATTTCATCGACTAATCCTAGCAAGTCCTCCTCATCCAATTTTAATATATTAACAATATCTTTCAACAATTTGAATCGAATATTTCCTAGGAACGTCTTATAAAGTCCTTAATGCAAGATGTTGAAGATAACCGTTCATCCAAAATTGAGTCTTATAATAAATACAACGAACGTACTCTTTTAACCTTTGTCACATTTTTGACTGCGTCCCTCATTATAACAAGATAGGATTTTCTCCATATACATACACATGTATATGTTTTTATTACAATAAAAGCGTTTTTATTAACGAATTTAAAATTTCAAAAAGAAAGTACAGTTTCAAAAGATGTTATACAGAATAAAAAATAATAAAATAGATATTTATTTATTCGGCATATTATTTAGGCCGTTTAAAGGTAAAAAACTTATTTTTTATAAAAAAAAAAAAAAAAAAAAAAAAAAAAAAAAAAAAACGTTAATAATATCAAGTCTTTTTTCGTTTCTATTTACATTTAATTTGTGTGTTATTTTATAAATTTTTTTTTTTCTTTTTCGTTTTTACTAAAATTTATTTACTGATTGCCTAAAGACTTGCCTCCAACATTCTGGGATGCAAAAAGTTTCCTCGGGGAAAAAAAACTATCACGCATCATTTTGTATTAACGGATCTTGAGATTTGCGTTCGTGAAACCTGATCGCGCTAAAATATGATGTAATGGTGTTTAATGCGAATAAAAGAACGTCTAGACACTTTATAAGCAATCTGATAAAAATGATGTACGTAAATTTGATTGATACTTGTACCGGTGTTTGAACTTCAAAATCTGATCAGGACTCATTATCGACTAATTGCAAAATGTACGCGTACATGAACGATGATTAGTAAGTTAGTAGTAAGTCTTATAAAATAAAATTTTTCTGCAATTTCGTCGAGATAACTTTAGAATTTTGGCAAAAGTTCAATATTATCCATCTGACCGCCGCATATATACTGGAATTTTGTTTAGATAAAGGTTGCAACGATAATTTTTTAAAAGAATAATAATTGCAGCCCATGTATATTTGCTGAAACAGCAAGGCCATGAATAGGCTGCGATCACAGTTGCTATTAACAGGCAACCTTTATCAAAGAACGCACAAACACACACAACAAACAAACCTGTAGAAAATGCCAAGGCGTGATTATGATTAGCAAGTAGTACTAGCCTTAAAAAAGATATTGAAAGTACTCGTCAAAGTACTCTTTGAATGGGTGATCTGCTTCGGCTTCTGGAAGACGGCGATTTGATGCGAATTTATGCGCATTTCCATAGAGATCATTAATGTCGTCGGTATCATCTGTTGGGGAAAAATGAAAATTATTATTATTGTTGTGAATGTGCTATACTCGCAAGCGTTTTTAATACGTTTTACCTTGATATTTTTGCTTCCTTGATGATACAAGTGATTTCGATGGAAGTACGGCCTCGTCAACTAAGTCTAATTGACTTTTTTGGCTGCGTTGCGAATAGCGCACCGGCGGCGCGAAAAACCAATAATTTTTCAATAGAATTTTAAAGCCGGGCATTTGTTTTAATTCTTTTAGAGCTTTGGTTTGTTTGGACAAAGCGCGAAATGCTCTGAGTTGCAAGCAGTCTACTTCGGACGAGGCATTAATTAAGCGTATAGCGGATTTCGCTGTTGTAGACGAAACCATTGGATACAATTTAATATTTGGATCCAACGGAATGTTTTTGTAGGCTACGCCCATTGAACGACGATTAAGGAAAAATTCCAGATAGCCACAGCTGCGATCCAAATAAATTCCCACTATACATCCTTGCGAGAATTTTTGACCATACGGCAGTCGGACGGCGGCATGTTGAATTTTACCTTCGTATGAAAAACCCCACGACGAAGCATTGGCACCCAAAGCTGAGGCAAAATGAAATGGGAATTGATTCAAATCGACGCACTCGGTACCGATGCCAAACATCTAAAAAGAAGACAACCATATTATAGACAATTCTACATAATTAACATAAAGCGGTTAAAAGTGAAACTAAGCGCACATGTTGCAACAAAATTCTTAGCTTTAACTTTTTAGCTTTCAAATACAACATATTCATCTACATATGGGCTAAAACAGAAAATCCCTTTAATGATGATGCTTTAGCAACAATTGTGCATTTCTTTGACTTTGCAACGTGCAATAAAGCGTCTCCTTTTAAGCAATGCTAATTTTAACAACAAGTTTATTTCTTCACTGAAAAAAGCTATCATATTGTAAGAGCGATAACGATAAGGTGTCTCTCGTTGCGATTATTTATATATATATTCAAAAATGTTATGCTATTTTTTGTATATAAACTTCGCGGCTGCGATTGAAGGGAAGTCCATCTATTAAACTCGAAGATTACACAAACTTATGCTAATGCTAAAGCAATCGCATAACATATATACATATATATACTTGTGAACGTAATAAAGTGAGTCAAATCAAGTGATGTAATGTGCGTGCATATGGACGCATGTACACAAATCTTACCTTTCTCGTGTTTATAAAAGTTTATTACAATTTTTACCATCGTCATCGTAAATACAGAGACCTATATTGAGACCGTTTGTTGAAGTCACAATTTTTATTTAGTCTAAAAGCAGAAACTCAAAATAATTCTTACCTTATACCTAATATCTATCTATCTATATGTTCTTATATCTATATGTCAATATATATACAAGTATGCTAGAAAATATGAATGAATCAATGAATGGATCTACCCTACATGTTTCAAAAAAGCAATGGTTCGTTCTTTGCATGCGGTTTGCAGTTCATTCACCCTTAACAAAATCTTAGTTTCTACATCACAAATCTTCCAAGTCAATCTGTCAATCTTCGTCCAAGAGTCGTAGGTGTGCCAACATTACGCATGTAGCATGTGTGGCTTCTCCATTCTAGAAGGTCGAACGGGGGGTGGCGACGCAATCAAATGAAATAACTTAATGTTATCATTTATTGTAGGTGATTTATTGAGAGTATTGTTTATTGTCTATAAGTGCTATCGATACAACAGCGATTTTATACGTAAGTAAGTATTTTTCCTATATACCCAAAGCCATAATAATACTCTACGTGATAGGTCTTTAACTAATACCGAGGATTTGACATTTCTTAGGAAATCAAGTTCAATATACTTTCAAAGGCAAATGCGGCAAACGATAAAGCGATTTAAATCACTTACGTGATAATCTTTATAATCGTTTCAGCTAAAAAATGCTTTAAAGGCAAATCGCGTCACATTACAATTTCTTTAGTTAAAAGGTGAAGCAAAGCTTTTAATAAAGAATAGGACCAAACAAATAAAATTTACGCTTTAAAGCGAATCTTACCAATTCATTCATTTAAAACTAAACATTTCTTTCGATTAATTACTTGTGAGGCAAAACGTCGCCTATCAGATTTTAACTGGCGGCAAAATATCGGAAGTGCAGATGTCGTTGGTTTGGCGATGAATGTCATTATGATCAAAAAAATCATCATCATCATTTCATGAACACGATCTAAATTAGTGTAACGAAATCTAAATTCAACGGCGATAAGAGCGGAATTTAACGCTGCCGAATGTAATCAATGTGTGTCAACAAAAATGAATGAGTCAATAAATATATCAAAAATTATTATACAAAAAATGTCTACAATTTGCTGCATTTGCACTTTTCGGAATAAAGGAAATTTTTTTGTTTTTTTTAAGATTCTATATTAATCTTATTTTGCTCTCTTGGTCGATATTGCCGATATTGTTTACTTGTTTATAGAATATTATGATTAAAATTATCACTATAATAACCTTTTTATAGATAATTAATTGTCTCGTGGTATTAATTTTCCGATTCAGTGAAAAATGTTCTTTCTCTCTTCTGAGCTCTTTTTAAACATTAAAAATAATTGATTAAGAGAAAAATTTCCGTTACAAATATATTGAAAACAATATTCAAAAATGTGATTTTCATCCTTTTATTTTTTTAAGAGCAACTTTTTCTCTCTTTTTCTTCATGAGAAACTACAAAGTCGGTTTCATAGTCAGTTAAGAACAATATAGCAATATATAGCTGAGCAATGACTTTTATGAAAGAATTTTCAAAAATTGTTACTTTTTAACAATTCTATAATCTAAATCGAGACGATATAAAAATTTTACTCCTTAGAATAACAACAAAACATATTTTGCAATGTTTGCGGGCAGAAATGTCGTCTCATCCACACATCCTGCACTTGAATTTATCCTGGTTCACTTTTATTCGAACGTTTTGGAAACAGCCACGATGGCAGCGACCTAACACCGCAGACGGTGCAACCTTTCGAAAACACGAATCACAAGTTTTATGACAATAAAAATGATTATTAAAAGTTCACTTCTCCGCAAAAAAGCTATTTAAAAGACTAGCAACTAAAAAATGTGTACGTTTTTCCCTAGATGAAAACATTTTTCATTTTGACATTCATTATGCTATTTGTCAATTTTGATAAATTTCTTTCGAAAAATGAAAAAAACAAAAAAATAATGAAAAGGATCTCCACGCATGTTTATATAATCTATTTCTGAGGAAGGAAAACAATACATATATACTGCGATATTTGGATGCCCTTGATGGTTATAATTTAACACTGGAAAAAGGAGAACACTGTAATTTTAACAAAATGCATTTGGTGACTATAATCCTCGCGACTGACCGACTGAAAATTGCTGCATAAAATTTTTTAATAGCAAACATTACTTACCACATCTGTACCTGCTAGAACAGTCAATATGCGAATTTCCCAAAAGTGAACCATGTCAACTTCTAATGGTTTGTTGCCTCTAACTATGGACGTACCCTGCGAATAAGCGGGATGAAATATTACAGTAGGCCCAACAATGCGTACGTCCGACTCAGGGTGGTCATACCACTGCCACTGCAATTCAGGGGCCTCGACATCGTTTTCGCCACAACGACACATGAACAGCTCAGATAGGTCTCCTTTGTACGATGTAACTTTCATAGTTGAGGGGAATTCACAATCGCAATAGGGTGGGCAACACTTACGCCAATCGCGACCACCACTAAATCGTGAATGACCAATCAGAAGCTTTTCACTGTGCGGCATATTTCTTATGTTACTAATGCGTGACGTGATGGGGAATGGGCAATGGCGAAGTCGTTTAAGCGGTTTGGGCACTATCGCGGCGGACGCTGGTAGCGATAATGGTGACCGACGAGGCACAATAGACGAGGTATTTAATATGTAGTGCTTTTTCCTAGCAGTTGGAAATATGTCCCCTTTTGTTCCAGGTTGTTTTTTTAAGACGAATTTCGATTTGAATAACATAAAATCTCCTATATTTTCAATTTCTCTATTCTTTGATCGACAGTCAATACGTACTTGAATAAACTCATCGATTGACTAATAAAAATATTTTCATTGCCGTTTCTTTTATTTATTATCAACAAAACTCTCTGCTGACTAGATTTGATGGCTTTTGTATACATACATAGTATGTTCTCTACAGTATCGCACGAAGTGTGAATAGAAGCCAAAACAAAAATAATGCTAAATATGTAAATCATTCAAGTTTGGTTGCAAAGTTGATATACAATTTATAAAACGTGTTATCTGTAATCCACCAAAATAACTTTAAAGTGTCACTTGTGTAAACAAAATGCATTCGCTATACCTTAATTAATTATGGTGCACTCAAAATTTACTTTATTTAAGGTATCGCCATTACATTAATGCAATTGTTTTTATTCGTCTGAACAATGCTTCTTTTATTCTCTCATTTCCTTTTTTTTCTACAACTTTTTGCAAAATTGTGAAAACAAACTTTCAAATGAGAAATTTTGCATACTGGGTTACCAACTTTCGATATTTTCTCTTTTTTAGGAATGAAATCAATTAGAAATGAGATTGCGAAGCCAGGGACTTGTGCGCGAGATTGCGCTAATCTTGTATATGTCAAGTATGAAATGAAAGTAACCAATATGAGAAATAAAAATAAAGAGATGAAAAGTGAAAATAAAAAAATTTAATAAATAATAATAATATAACGATATTAAATTGTAATAAATTGTCCTTTATTTTCCTTTTCTCGCATTTCTATTCTCTCAACTCAACATTAATTGTCGTTAACAGGCCGAATCCATTAAACTAAGAAAATCGAAAAAATAATTGTTGCAATTATTTACTAATAATAGACTTTAAGACGAATTCTTTATTTTTCCAAGAAATCTTCTAAGAGATTCCGGAACTTGAACGACTTTAGAGAGCTGACACAATAAGGCGTCTTATTCGTTTTCAGATTAAAAATTCCCAAATGCTGAACACACTGGAAAGGGTAGAGAAGAACATATGGTCTCAAAAAAAACACACATAAAGAAATCAACGCAAACATGAAAAACAAATTTATAATTCTTAGAATTTTGTTCATTAGCCTGAATATTTGCAATCCGAGATATTATTTTGTTAATGGTCACAATCCGCTCAACTTTTATGACACCGTCAGGAACCTTCTTGTGTGTTAATTGATTCGTAACTTGCAAATCACTCTCTAATAGAACAGTTTGATGAGTATATATCAGACAAGTGATCTTTAGCGCTTGTTCTTCATTTCTTACAAAATAATGCATGGTATAAACCAAAATGGCAAATTACATAATATAAAGAAATGTAAATTAGTGTAAAATAAACATAAATTAGATAAATAATTTCTGAATTTCAAGTAACTTGTCTCCATTTTTTTCTTGTGCTTTATTTGGGTGTATAAATGCACGACCATATGATTTGTCAATTCCCACGAACTCTTACAAAGAGCCGGGAAAATTGGAGTCCCCCAACCCGAAAAAAGGTACAATGCCTCATTTGGTCAGCCTCCTCGCTGGTATGGAAATTGCAAATTTTCGTGAAATTAAAATTTAATACTTTTTTTTATCTTTAGGTTCCGCGCAAAATGGCTATTCCTGCGCTTTAACTGAAAACAACATTTAAAGTTCTGTACATAATGGGTGTCTTATGAAACAACATATATTAAAATTATAAAACTCGAATCTTGCTCTATGAAAAAGTTGAGGATAAAGTTAAAGGCTTTAACTGCAATTGCAGTGAATAGCAAAACAACGCGGAGACGAAACGTCAAACAAGTACCTCTCTGGTTCGATAAAAAATGTTCATAAGTCTGAGAAAGCAAATGAAGCGTCATTGCCCTTATAAGTTAAATTCACTTTTAATCAGAGAAATGAAGGAAGCTTTGGCCAAATCGAATCTACAGATGATAACGACTCGAATAATTATGCTTGTCATTGTCGCAAATTTTCATCTCAGCAAACACTTCATGCCAAGAAAGCTATAGAGGAAAATTTAGTGTTGGTTCGGTTGAACATTGTCAACGGTGGCACGATAACGATAAACTCGGTAGTAGTTTGTGAAGAATCCAAACAAACCAATATTTAGGGAATGTTTTTTTTAATTGTCGATTAAAAAAATTGGTCTGTTGTCAGTCATGTATGTAGTAGGAGCGCGTATCCTGTGTGATAATAAAAAGTAGCTGTTTGCAGTTATATCGTGAGAGTCGATTTTAAGGTTCCTTGTTTGTACATGCTGCCGTTTTACATATGTGCTTAGTTAATTTCTTGGTGACCAACATATTTGGGCACGTCCAATGTCCACCACCCGATTTTCCGTTGTTAAGATTTGTGTAAGCAAAACAGTTGCAATAAAAGATTGCTGTTAACGTTCTTAACTCAGTTTTGCAGTGTTAGGATTGAAAATGGGCTTGAAGCCCTGCTACGATTGCTAAAAAGAAAAGAAAATTTGAAAGGATGTTGCAATGCGATGGTGAGCAATTATTGAAATGAATTTAAATTTCGCATAAATTTCTCCGTCAGAGCCATCTTAAATTACGATGAGCGAGGTCGCTTGTTATAACGATGCGTTTGCAACGTGGCCATGAGCAAAATTCCTCATTAAAATATCCCCAACGAAACAGCGGATTTACAACACGTTTTCTACAGCTATCCTCAAGCCAATGACGACGTTGTGGAGTAACTAAATCTTTCGATACTACGTTTACAACTTTATTGTACGCGCACGGTGCTCTTGTCTACTACTCTACTGGCGAGAAGTGGAAAAGCGACTACTACATGTTATAAATGAGTTGCATTTTTTTTCTAGACAGTCCACACAACGGAAATGAGTGGACAAAATTGAAGGTAAACTTTCAAAAAAATACTTTGTCCTTTTTATAATGCAAAGGTCAAAGACAACTGAATTACCATTCATGGTCAATTATTTGCAGGTCGCTGACGAGCATTATAAAAACTATTCAAAATGAACTACTAAGGCCTGAACACACTGAACTTGTGTGAGGAATTGGCTGCAAATCTAAACGATATGACTGCATTTACCAGAAGTGAGTAGACATGCAAAGAAGTAAATATAAATGACTTATGTAATAGAGAAGAATTTATTTAATATTATGTAAATTTTATTTTCACTCATCAAATGACCGGGAAAATCGATTAGAATGTCAGGCTTACAAAAGTAAAGTAGCATTAAATGGTTTTGAAGAAAAAGTTGCAGCGATATTTGAGACACTTGCCGTTGATGAGCTACCAAGTGTATATACACTTCTCAAACGATGCATGAAAGAATAGAGGATTGTGTCAAATGCTTCATGACATCCTAGAGCAACGTGTTGAGAATTTTAAAAAATTTGGATAAAGGTTGAATCTTCGAGTGGAAACATGTCATTCTTCTTCGTCAAAGGTTTAAGCGAACTATTTGAATTGACTAATAAATAAATGAAAAATAAAGAATTTTATACGCCTACCTTTGCTTGTTTTCCGCATAAGTGAGTAAAAAATTTGTATTTCTAAGCATTTTTCTTTCAATTTTGAAAAAGTTGTCACTTCCAACCGTTATACTATATTCTTTTATTATACTAAAAACGATCAGGGAACTGCTGATCAGGAGTAGATCAAAAGTCGTGTCGTCTATATTTACATCGAATACCAAAAAAGCACAAAAATGTAATGAAAGCAATTTTACTGTTATTTGACAGAAGCATGTGATTATTTGTGATTGTGCGCTAAATAAAGCGTTTATAGGATGGAAAACTAACTGGGTCATAATTTCTTTTAGGCTCGGGAAGAAAAATTGAACACAGTTTGAGTCAAGCCAAAATTTCATTGTTGTTGTTTGCATATCTGCTCAACTTTTATTTCTAAGTCTCAGAAAGAGGCCCGAGAGCATTGTGTCAGATTCGAACGACATAGTTAATACGTGAGTATTAAAAGTCGATGTAAGGAGTCGGATAAAGAAACTCGGGGTGGCTTAAATACTTCATATTTGAGTTTTTATTGCGCAAACCCTATAGAAAGATAATTCCTTGAAGGACGAACAAGAAGTTTAGCTTAAAATTAATCGATTAAAGTTAAATAGTAATTGTAAAATATGTTATGTAATTAGGATTTATGAAATATTCATTTCATAGATAAGAAGAAGAGTTGTTACATAAGTGACAAATTAAGATGAATTTCTTTTTTTTTAATATGAATGAACCTATAGGCGTTTTTTTTTGTTTCGGTGCAACTTCTGGGAAGAAAACTCTTTATTATTATATATATTATAATACATAATACAGTATACAATATATTACATAATATAATCGATTGAAAAATGACATTAGAGAGAAGAGTTTTCTGTATAGAACTTAAATTTAGTTTTGGGTATAGGGGGTTTTTGTGACAATGATGTACTTTGTTTTTCATACGTTGAGTATGATTGCGGAGGATGAACTTGTTATTCCAAGTACGTAACGTAATCTGAAAGATGAATTTCATGAGCTTGAATTGTCAAACCTGCAGATGAATGAGCAAAGCAAGAATTCGTTTTTCGAGTGAAACATGATTTGCGTCTTGTCTGCACTTGACATAATTTTCCATTTATTTAGATAGGCTAACTGCAATTTGCAATACGACATCCAACAAGGTCATGCGGTGGGTAAATATCGATATATCGATATATGCCCCGTATGAAGTAACATGATGTTCATTCAGCCTTGAAAAGTTAGTATAGAAAATCGATTGCAAAATTGAATCCAGAGCAGATCTGCGGGATTATATAATAAAGGAGAAAATTCATTTAAAAGCGAAACGCGGAAATCTCTTTCAGACGTCAGACTTCGGATGAACAAAATTTCGAGAGGTGGAAAACCGACAGATGCCATTTTGAAAATCACTATTACATTATATGATCAAACAGAATCGAAAGTTTTTTCAAACTCCAAGAGAATTAATTCAGTAAATTGCCGTAAAAGCGAGGCATGTTTTGATTGGTCCAAAGGTACAATTTTAAATAATTTAAAGGTGAAAATCTAAGGAAGTCCTTTCAAAAATGAAACAAATTCCCTTTTGACATAATAAAGGAAAGGAAAGCTTTAAGCAAGCGATCAAATATCTAAATTGAACGAAAGCCGCATCTATAAGACTCATAAGCATATACGAGAATGAGAATAGAATAGTGTTAATAGCTTAAAAACGCAATTAAAAGAAAAACGATCTGCCTATTCAAAATTAGCGAAGGACTCAATTTAAGCAAAACTGATTAACACTACAAAATTTGCTGAAATAAAAACACAAGTGTGTAGAAAAGTTGTAACCAAGTGAAAATCTAATTGTTACGGATTTCTCGGACACGTTTCAAAATTTATAAAGCGCGTAATAATAATAATAATAATAATAAGCAAAACAGTTTCTTTTCAATATTCTTAATTCTTTTCTGTGAGAGAAAGGTTCGACATGACGAGTTTTCTTCCTTCTGTTAAGGTAAATAAATATGAGAACGAAACGATGTTATTATAAATATTTTTTATTTATTTCTCAATTGAAGGCAAAGGTTTATATAATTTTCGTGTACTTGGCGAGTGTGATCTTGTTTGTGGAAAGTGCAAAGAAGAGAAAACGTCCGGACATGTATCATGCGGTGGGTAGCAATTCCAAAAATCAACATCGCCAAGGATAATTGATAATTGATTAAGCAATCGTTTTTTTCATTTGCAGTTCGGTTTCTTTCACTGACTCTGTTATCTATTGGAAAATGTAAAGATTACAAATCGCATACATTATATTTATATAGAGGAAATATTTATTTTCTTTTAATTAAGAAATGACAGCACGGAGGAATTGCATTTGTTAGAAATATTTATTTCGCCTCAGTGACATAAGCTCTCTGCATGGCACACTCTAAGTTATAAGTTTATTAGTAAAGCAAGTAGGTTAGGTTGAACAGTATGGATGACATTCCCTCGGTATAAGGAGTATAAATAATTTTCGGAAATCCTTTTTAATACTCTAAACTTTGTGGAAGGGGACAGACGCATGTAAATGTCGTATGAATAGTCGTATGAGTAGCTAAGAGCCCCGACTACCAAGTCAAGGTTTATGGGTTCAAATCTCAAGTGTCGTAGAGTTTACTTTGTCGGTAAAGGCGATAACAGTTATCGATTGGGCATACACGCCAACTAGGTTGCGGCTGCTAACTCAATATTCCTTTCGCTTTCGTTTCTTTTTGCTGGGACAATGAGTTCATAACCGTCGTGTTTAAAATGAATTTACGCTTCTCCAGCGAAAGTAAAGCTATTAACAGTCATCTATTGTCATATGGTGGTAATGAAGCTTGACGGTGCCATGGCAAATTCCTTAACTCAAAAAGTGTGAATTGTTTTTAAACTGACTTAATGGCGTGTATACGAGAATGATTGGGCGGAGAGCATACGACAGGGACGTATTCAAGCGTAGATCTGATCAGTGACAAGTATAATCTTTTTGCAATATAGAGTTCCTGAAATTGTCTCGATCAGCCTTTTGCGAAGCCAGGCACCGATCTAGCTTTTTTAATAACAAGTTCAATGTGTAAGTTAAACCAAAAAAAAAAAGAGAAAAAATGTTCAGCATCGAAGGAGAAGATCAGTTTTGCATCAAGTCATGTTTGGAAATGATACAAAATTTGACATGACAAGTTTAGAAGTATAAAACTGTTGGCCCATTATGATCGTTAGTCCTGATGCCAAAGGTCGAATGCGACTCTCCACTTGATGTAAAATCGTAATCGTAATGAAATTTACTTAATACGTAATTATGTGCACTTAATATTGCCATTAAGAAAAGCCTTGGAGTAGTAGATATAAATGAAGAAATCTCGAACTATTGAGCAACTGGCTCGCAATCTGTCAATCAATGGCAAGGCAATCCATAACTTGACCTTTCCCTATATAATATTCAAACAAATTTGCATAAATTGCATTCATATATTCAAATATTAACGAATGAGTGATTGAATGACTGTGAAATAGGTGATTAGTACTGGTTCGTCGATGAGGAGGCCTGGATGTCAAATGCTAAAAGAAGGAACCAATGTCTTTTCACGGGGATACGCGATCTGCACGTATGCTCGTAAGATAAAAAATATTGCGCAGCATAGGTAAACGAATGTCCATAATGAGTAAATCAAAATATGGAAGAAAACAAAATGTCAGAAAGACTATAGATGTGGGGTCCGCTAACAGAGATAATCTTTTGAACATTCCGAAAGATATGCGAAACTATGTGAAATATATCAGGAAGCGATTGATGGTCACAAGAAGAAGATGTACTCGTACAAAGGCGCAACACCGTAGGAGAAAACTGCTTAACTATGTCCTACGTTTATTTATAAATGACATTAACACACAATGTATTAAATATAAGTGCCTCGTAACAATTATGTATTCGAGGATAACTAGCTTGGATGCCTAAAGCAATAATTAAAAAGGCAAAACCGAAGCAATTATTACGCATGCACGAGCATGCATACGCATACGCACACAAATATAGGACGTAATAATAACATCATTTGCTTATGTTTTCTTTCGGTAACAGCCATACATCGATCTTTGAAATCCAACACTATAATAGAATTTATTACGAAAACCTCAACTTTTTAGTAAGATTGGGTTTAGAAAAAAAAAAAAAAAAAAAAAAAAAAAACCCCCCCATCTGCGAAGAACAGGCAGATGTACCTGAGATTACGAGGATTTAGACGGAAGGAAAAGCCGTGGAGCTCTAAAGAACTATAATCATAGGAATGGCTAAAAATCAACCAAGTCGAGTGAAGTCGAAAGGGAAAAAGGAAAAAATTGAAAAAGACGCAAAAAGTAACATGGCAGCTAAAGTCGATACAAACATCCAAACTTTTTGTTAGATTAAGTATTCGAAGCATAGTACGCCCTCTACTGGAAGCACAGATCGATGAAATCAATTCAATGACGATTTTCTACAACAAAAATGCATTTATTCGTTTCAGTTCCAATTAATTTGCTCACACATCGGGCAATTGATTTACGTGCCTAATGTCTCGAGCATAACTAATTGCTTGCTCTCCTCCTTAAGACAAAAGTTTGCATTACGGTAGTGCCATATGATCATAGTATCGTATTGCCGCGCTGTTGGCATTGTGGCGCTTTGGTTTATTAACAGAGTATGGATTCCGTTTTAATTTACCTTAGGATAACTTTGATTAATATGCGTAACATTTCGACAACCGATTTTAAGGGTAGCTTCGATGTTTATCTACATTGGCAAATGGTGATCGGAAATTTTGAAACAAATTACGCTTATGAAG